GAAATATCTATGAAACCGCCGAAGAGAAGAAGAACACAGATTTTTTTTTCGTCTAATTATATTCTGATAATGAAATATTGATATAATTATTTAATTATTTGAGATAAATAGAAATATCTAAGTGGGTTGAATGGATATTCATGGTTTATTGGATTTGGGTGGGTTTGATCCTGGTATTATTGTAATTAAAAAGATAAATAAAGGAGAGATTAGAATTTTCCAGGGTTTTCGTTATTAAAAAAAATCAAAATTAAATGAATTATTAGATTATGGCTCTTGAGCCTACTTTTCTCCAAATTGTGGCATATTAGCCTCTCGCTCTTCTCTCAAGCCTCTCTCATTTAACCAGGTTTTATAAAGAACCAATCTTGTTTTCTTCCCTTTTCAGGAAATTTCCAAAGGAACAATTTCAAGAATTAATGGCTCAGATGCCATAATTTGTAAACAAAAAATCTGCTGTGCCATATTATAGTCTGGGTGCCATAAATCACATGAAAATCCCATTTTACCCTTAATGAATTGGTTTATGGCATATCTGATTTTATCCAAAAATAATATTTAAATAATTTCGTAATTAATATATTAAAAGTAAAACGAAAATTAATTAAAAATATGATTTTTGTTTTCTCTTCTTTCCAATTCATGTCTTCATCTTCAACTCCAAACCTTCTAAATCTCATTTTTTGCTTTTGTCTCTTCCTCCTCTTCTCCTTCTTCATCCTCTGTAATCAATTTCTTGTCTTTATCTCCTTTCTCTACCATTATTGTTGAAGTTTCAAAACTCAGTTAGGTTTTTATTTAGAGATTTGAGGATTTCACAATTTAGAGATTAGATTTCACAATTAAGGGTTTTTATTTAGAGATTTGCAAATCGGGTTGGTAACCCAATTTATATGACGATTAGATCTTTGCATATATAATTTGTTGAATATAGTTGTTGAATTGTAGTGATTCTTAGATAAATTAGAATTAAAACCCGAATTCATCATCAAATCTGCAGAGAAGGACAACTGGTACGAATGGTACAACTAAGAGATAAGAGGACAACTAGTACAACTGGTACAACTATGAGATAGAGGACAACTGATACAATTAGGTATAACTAAGACAACTTAAATAATTGCTGATTGGAAATTCTTTTATTGTAATTGCAAATCGGATTGGTAACCCAGTTTTATCTGACGATTAGGTATTTGCATTGATAATTTCTTAAATAAAGTTATTGAATCATAGTGATTCTTAGGTAAATTATAATTATACCTCAATTCATCACCAAATTTGCAGAGAATGACAACTAGTACAATTAGGTATAACTATGTACAAACTTTGATATCGCACATAGGTGCACATGTTACTTTGACGGATAACTGGACACTTAGGAAAGTCAATATAGTCTAAAGGATTTTATTTTTAGCCGAGGATGCTTTCCGGATAGAAATAAACAAGGTACAACTGGACACATATGTACAACTATATGTAATTCTTTCAATAGAAATTAATAGTGATAAAAGTATGAATATAAAGCAAACATTCACCTAAAAATGTAAAAAAGTTGTAAACTATAAGGAAAAAAATTAAAAAGATGGATAACATGAAATTATCATTTTTCTAATACATATTATTGGTTTCACATCAAACACCCTTTATGATACAAAGAATTGATAATGTTAACAATCTTATGATGGAAAAGAGCCAAAAATATAATTTTGCATCAATTATAATATGAAAATGTTGTAAAAGGACTACAATAGTCTAAAATCATGTGGACAACTACAAAATGATAATTTATATCAAGGGACAACTGGAAAAACTGCTAAAATCGCCAAAGGACAACTATGAAGAATTTTGGACAACTGGACAACTGGGTACAACTATGTACCAAATTGACGGCGCACGTGGTACTTTGCCTGCGCACATGTCCTTTTTTGTCGGCACACATGTCTATTTTATTAATTTTTAATTGATTTTAATTATAATTTTAAATTATATACGTGTCTAAATGGATAAAAAAAAATTATTTTCAGCCGCCATCTCACACGTGCATCTACAACTGACAATAGTTGTACCTAGTTGTCCAGTTGTCCAAAATTTGTAATAGTTGTCCTTTGATCGATTTTGTAGTTTTTTCAGTTGTCCTTCGCCATAAATTTTTATGTTCTAGTTGTCCACAAGAATTCCGAACATTATATAGCAGCCCCATATGCTTTGTGTTATTATTTTTCTATTTCTTATATTTTTGCATAGACGCTTGCATAAGATGGATAACATTGTCAAAGACTTTCTTATAACATAAGGGCTTATTTCAAGTGAAACCAAAAATATTTGGTTCTTTGAACAAAACAAAGTTTGATTTTATTCTTTCTAGTATAAATGTGAAAAAAACAGTTTTTAAGGTATGAGTTGTATTGTTTTTAAGTAAATAATTTTAAGAATTTATTTTTTAACACTACAATTAATATAGTTGTCCCGAGTTGCACCTAGTTGCCCTGGAGAAATTCATAACGTAATTGTACCTAGTTGCACTTAGTTGCCCTGGAGAAATTCATAACGTAATTGTACCTAGTTGCACCTAGTTACCCTGGAAAAACTCATTACGTAATTGCACCTAACTCCAAAATAAATAGCAATGCAAGAAATTAAAGAAATCCAAAATACAATAACTCCAAAATAAATAGTAATGTAAGAATTCAAAGAAATCCAAAAAATTCAAAATACAAATAACTCCAAAATATTCATGTACACTCTAAGGCCGAAATAAGTTGAATCATTCATTCAGCAGTACCTTGTTTTTAAATTAAGGAGTTACAGATAATTGTATATATGTGTCTAACTGTACCTTATTTATCCCCATTTGGGAAATTTTTCTCTGCTAAAATGAATAATGTGGCTATCCAAAATAAAAATTCACTAGCTAAAATATAATTTTCTTAGCTAAAATAAAATCTCTTCGGATAAAATAAACCTGAAAACATACACAAATTAAGTTTCCATGCTACTTTTGCCCTGAAATACTTATCTAATTTATTATCTGTTTTTGTCTTTCGACGATGTTTTTTTGAGAATAGAAACCACATTTTTGTTTTTTTTTTTGTTTAATTCGGCAGTAAGACAAATAATTCTTGTTTATTATCAAAAATACTCCACCTAGTTTCATTTATATGTGCAATTCATTCTTCATATAAATTATCTATTCCAAAGCTGTTTAGTTTTATATATCGCAATCTTCTTACATACAATATCTTATCGACTAATACCGAATAAGTTATCTGCTCGAAATATGAAGTATTAAATGATATAAAATCTATTGAATTGCTTGTGTGGCTGATGCTCATTCTCCTTTGAAAATATAATAAAAAAAAATCTCAATTAAAAATTATTCAAGTTGTCTTAGGTATATCTATTTTTACTAGGTGTCCTCTATCTCGTAATTGTTCTAGTTGTACCAGTTGTACTAGTTGTCTTCTTATCTCTTAGTTGTACCATTTGTACCAGTTGTTCTCTGGAAATTTGGTGATGAACTCAGGTTTAATTATAATTTATCTAAGAATTACTACGATTCAACAACTATATTTATGAAATTTTTCATGCAAATACCTAATCGTCATATAAAACTGGGTTACAACCCGATTTGCAATTATAATCAAAGAATTTTTAATCAGCAATTATTTAAATTGTCTTAGTTATACCTAATTGTACCAGTTGTCCTCTATCTCATAGTTGTACCAGTTGTGCTAGTTGTCCTCTTATCTCTTAGTTGTACCATTCGTACCAGTTGTCCTTCTCTGCAGATTTGGTGATGAACTCGGATTTTAATTCCAATCTACCTAAGAATCACTATGATTCAACAATGCAAAGACCTAATCGTCACATAAATTGAGTTACCAACCCGAATTGTATACCAAACAAGTAATTTTGGCAAATCCAATCTCTAAATTGTGAAATCCCTAAATCTTCAAATAGAAACCTAATTAGGTTTTGAAGCTTCAACAATGGTGGTGGGGGGAGGAGATAAAGATAAAAAAAATTGATTGCAGAAGATGAGGAAGCAAAATTTGAGTGATGAAGATTTGATTTTGGTGATTTTTAAAATCCATCGTTGTGTTTGACGATGATGAAGACGAGTAAGAAAG